ATTCTACTTTAGGAAATGTTTTTTGTTCATGTTAAATGCTAAATAGTGTACAACATGTCTGTTCATGGGAAAAATGGTTCATAATTCATAAAGTTATATATACGTTAGTCAACATTTATCTTGCTGTAAAAATGCAGAGCAGGCAAATACACAATTAACACATATAGATAAATAAAAATAAATACCAAATTTCCTATTTTTAATAACACACATTCCATCTATAAAAGTACATCCAAATATGACCCACATGAGGTAACTTATGAGGAACAGCATCAAGAAGAAATATCATTGTCTGGACTGTTTATTAGCTCTCAGTGTTCCATTTAACTGCTATTCCCTGATCCACCACAGTATCAGACAAGTCCCTCAGTCCTAGAAATGTATTCTTAAATCTTACTTATAAGTAAAACTTACAATCTGAAAAACACCTTTCATAAGTTTCCTATATACTAATGATAATTGGTGTTATTATTTCATCTCTCTACATTTGAAATTATTATTTGGGGTAAATATACATTTTACACAATAAATTCCAGTAGTTATGGTAAAAATCACTTACGGTTCATAGTGTATTGTGGGTTATAGCAGGTACTTAAACTGCTTAGATTTTTAAGTGTCAAAAATTAAATTTCACAATGTCGTATATACAGTAGCAATTCATTCATCTGTATACAAGTGTACACAGAAGAGATAACACAATACTTAAGATATTTAGAATTAGCAGTGAAACAAATCAGAGGAATCAAGTGGAGACTATGTGGAGTGCATTTAAAAACAAGAACAAGAGACACTTCTTTACACAAAGGGTTGTGGGAGTTTGGAACAAGAGCTGATAGGCAGACTTCTTTGGATCAATAAACTACTGAAAGCCATTCTTACAACTACAAAAAGAGTTATATTTTGTTTTATCATTGTACTCTCTCGCTATTTACTGTACAGTATATGGTTTTATTGTATGGAATTAGTGTTACTTCTATTGATACATGAACTAAAAAGAGTGTTCTCTTATATGTCCAGGTCAATATTATGTAACCGGCCCACAGATGGTCTTTGGGATTGACGGTGGGTCTGTCGATGTTGAATGTCGGTATGGATCATCAATGACAAACTACGTGAAAGTTTGGTGTCAAGTGTTCGGAGGTACTTGTACTGACCTGGCTACAACAGACAAAGGAACTAATTATCATGGGATGTCAATTAAGGATGACAAACTCAATAATAAATTTATAGTAACATTGTCTCAACTGAAAGAACATGATTCTGGACGATATCATTGTAAAGTAAAAAAGTCAAGGAGAACCAATTTGGACACAGGATATGAAAATTATATACATGAAGTGGAGTTGAAAGTTCTACCAGGTAAGCTATTTGTTCTTTCCCAAGATGATTTAGAGACGTTTATTCAGCATATATGCCTAATATGAATTCTTAAACTGCACATCACATCACTTTAAAGCATTATTATGAAATTGAAATTATAACATTGAAAAACGTCTTTAATAAATAGCTTTAACTATTTCATTTCCAGTTTTGCACTTTGATTCAAATGCCTCTTTAACCTGTCCTTTTTCTCCTGCTCAGTTCTAGCTCCGGAGACAGTCATCGGGACCGTGGGTGGATCTGTGATTGTTGACTGTAGTTACAGCGTCAAGTTCACTCGGTACCGGAAGAGCTGGTGTCAAGTGCATCAAAGTGGATCATGTAACAGTATAGCGGAGGTGAATCCTGGAAGGGTATTTTCAGGCCGTGTGACTGTGCAGGACGATGTCAAGAACAAGAAAGTTTCAGTGACACTGACTCGCCTGCAGGAGACAGACGCAGGAAGATACAGGTGTGAATTTGTGTTGAATGGAGACAGTATGACCCAACAAGTAGAGCTGAAGGTTTTCAACCAACCCGGCCTCAGAGTACAAGAGACAGTGTCTTCAGAATCAGGGGGATCTGTGGTAATCAACTGCGAATACAGTCAGGAATACATGAATAAAGAGAAGTACTGGTGCAAAATGCAAAATGGCGAATGTAAGAATCTGTTATATCAAAAGCTCAGCCGTGAAGTAATAATGATCACTGACAATCAGCACAATTGCTCTTTGACACTGTCAATGACATTGCTGTCCTGGGAAAATGCTGGACAGTACAGCTGTATCATAAAAGAGATTGGCAGGTTTATCAGTAAGAATGTGGAGCTGAAAATTATTGATATTAAAGGTCCAGCTATTGTAAATGGAACCGCAGGCGGTTCTGTAATGATAGAGTGCCAATACAATGAAATGTATCAGTACGGGTATGTGAAATACTGGTGCAAGGTGGGCGCCAATGGACAATGTACCAGATTAAAGCTGTATACACGTGACGATATGAGATATCGGATAACACAAGATGGCAGAAGTAGTATTACTGATCAGACCTGGAGTGAGTCATTCGTTATTGCAATATCCATGCTGAAAGTCAGTGATGAAGGGCTGTACCGCTGTGGAATAGAAACAGATCCTCTTCTCCAGCACAGCACAGATGTTCGTCTGAATGTCTTTCCAGGTAAGAATACAGAATTACCTGAAAACTGCCACGATACCATTAAACACTGCAACCGGTGTCAATATTGTTTCTTCCAGCACTTCTTTTCACAGGTTTAGCTGGCTGGTTGTTGTCTGTGATCTCAAGGGATTGGTGCAGAAGTGAGAAGGGTACAGTATAACAGTCCTCAGGTCGCTCTCCAGGCCATACAGGAACACTTACATTTCTTTAGTATAATTCACAAACAAAAACCAACAACACTCACCTGGGGTCAGGGAAGCGTCTAGAAAGAGGACAATGGGTCCTGTGCCAGGCAACAGAGAGTAGTGAAGAACTGTTGTTCATAGCGGACACATTCATGTTTTATTTTATAAATAAGGATTTAAGATTTTTACGTACATTTTGGTAGTATGTTGTAAATTTGGTTGTTTTATTAAATTAATTGAAAATGTTACTAATCAAATATCACAGTCTATTAGCTCAGGCAAACACAATCTAATTAGACATTATTAAAAAAAATCATTTTCAAGATGCTGGATTATGTTTAGAATCTTTTTTCATCAGCATCACATTAGTTTATGATCCAGAGGTTCTTAAACATTGTATAAAATATTGGTTCTAACAGAGTCTCACTCCACCACAGTGCCGCATGTTGAGAGTTTTGATCGGGGAGATTGAGAAAGTGTTGGCAGGGGCTCTCTTTGTTCTTTCCACATCCCACATATCTACCTGTCAGGAACAAATTACAGGCAATCGGTTCTTTTGAGCCGCAAGCTGTACATAGCGAAAAGGGCATTAAACACCTCATCTCCAAGTGTGCAAACCAGAGTTCAGAGTCAAGCAATGGTCATGGTGGGGATCCAACTCCAAGAAAGCCCACTGGGCTGTGCCAGCTGGGGGCAGCACCAGAACAAGGGGGCGCACAGATTAAAAACTCACCTCCATGCTCTAAACACCATATTTTTCCTTAAACAATAATAAGCCACAGAATAATCTCCTTGATTACAACAGTGCTGGGGCTAACTGGTTGAAATCAATTTTTGAAATTGGTGTACTGGCAGATCAGGACACCTAGAATTTGACCCTGCGATATCCCAGTCACTGGCCTCGGCATGCACATTATGAAGTGTGCAAGTTTCTGTTGCAAGCCACTGGGGAACCTAATATCTCTCCCCACTGACCACTGTATTATGTTACTCACAGTCGGGACACTGAATCTTATATTTGTGTTTAATAGTGATGGCAGCATGGTCATGTTTCCTGCAGGTGAAAATCCTACAACCACTGTGGAACCACTCCCAACCAAGCAACAGGAGGACCACAATACAAAGAGGTTTGGAAATGTCCCACAGAAATAACAGAAGTCACACTCATAGAGATACAGGAGATGTAAGATGTAAGATTTAGCTTACACATGCTTCTCGAAACAGAACTAGCACGAATCATCTTCAGGAGACAATGTTGAGAAATGTCCTTAAGCACACCTTAATGAGTGTTGTCACGCACGCAAATCAATGAAGAAAAAGCACATAACTCAACTGTTAGGACAAGGCAGTAAATCCTACTACATGTCATGAAAAGAGAATCGATCTTTCAAGAGACCACAACCCAAGAATGAAGCTATGGAATGACACCTCCTATGCAATAATGTGTTCAATGCCTTCCTATTACATATGATGTAATACACATATACTCTTGAATTTTTAGTGTCGGTCCTACTACAGAAAGAGTAAGCCCGATTGTCTTTGTGATCTTGGGGATCCTGGCGCTGCTCCTCATGATCCCCGCTCTGATCTTCATTAAAAGGAAGTGTACCAAGCGCAGTGGTGAGTACAATGTCTCTGAACTGCACTGTGGGCAGCAGGTCACCGGGGTAAGATAGTCTTGCAAAGTACTCACTTTGTATCATCAAAATTCTGCATAAAGCATATTGATCAAAATACCCTCTATACTGTGACACGGCCTTTGTATTTTAAAAATCTACACCACCCATGCGAGTAGCCCTGGGCACAGTGCATGAACATTAGCCAGAATGAGAGGGAACTGGGCCAAGCCTGTGACAAGGGTATGCTTTTAATGTAGGGTTATGGCAATTTAACTCAAATTGAAAGAGGACCGTTATTGTTATTGCCTTCATTGTTCTTGAATATACTGTAACACTAGAAAACGTGAGTAGAGGTTTATGCAAGATGCCTGTTTTCTATGTTTTAGGTGGTACGATAACCTTCCACAACAATGGAACCAGCTTTCACCTGAGAGAAATCCAGACCACCTCTTCAACAGTGGTGAACGAGAATCAGTACGTCTACCACACATACTTCCAGCCAGCCATCAGCACTAGCAATGTCAACGGTAGATAAAACTCCTACTGGCTCTAACACTGAACACAGTACTACAGTCCTCTTCATTCATTATTTAATTCTCCTTTCTTTAGTGCTTGATGACAATTCATCCACTGACAGTTCAGATTCTTCGGATAGTTCGGTGAGTACTGATTCTAAAAACTCTGAAGTACATTCCTGGGAAAGAAACATGGTGCTTCTTCAGCTTTTCATTGTGGACACCACAATGAGCTACTGCATGTTTAAATTCACGCCCACTTGATGAGGCAGAAGACACAGTCATGCAGCTGTGAGCTCAGAATGGCCGTGTGTTCTTGCATTTGGCAGGCACAAATTATCTCTGTCTCAAATCAAAAATAAGAGGATGATGCCTATTACATTTTGTCTTGTTTCAGTTCATCTAAATTTTCCACAAGCCTTTTATTCCAAACTTTTTATGCAAAGCTTTGTACAGTACACATGCATGTTAAAAGCGATGTCTAATGTAGTCTCCACAAATGGTTGATAGGATAGTGTTTAAGGACTTCGCCTGCACTTTCAGCTATTTATACATTCCTGATGTTCTGTGTTTCATATGGTACATAGTCCAGTTCTTACTGGAGTCTTCCACTGTTTTGCCTCAGTCTACAGAGGAGCCCAGCAGGTTCTCCAGATACGCCAGTTTGAATCTGAACGGGACAGCAGAGGACGAGCTGGAACAAGCACACGACTACGTGAACGTGTCCGAGGATGGATGGATCGACCCTTCGGACTATGTGAATGTCCCGAACTCAAACGAGCTGGGAGCTTGTGGAGCCCCACGCAAAGCTGAGGAAGACTATGTGAATGTGGAGCCGTCCCGGACCGAGCAGGAGAGAGAGGAAGAGCAGGAGGGGGTGGAGAGGGAAGCTGGGGTAGCCGAGAAGGAGAAGGAAGAAGACAGCAGTGAGGAGGATGAGGGGGGAGAGATTCACGAGGAGGACGGGGAGGTAACATATTCACAGGTTGTATTCAAGTGAAGGACGCCTTGCTGCAGTCATGATTATGCCTTTCTCTTGCCTATTAGGAGGACTAAAAGGAGTCTTTGTGGCATTAAGCCCTGTTTAATATCGTCTTCTGACTAAATCACTGCATTGCAGATTATAAAGCTGTTCACATCAGCAGTGACCTATTGGTTCTGGGCCAGGTTTTTGTATTTTTTTGTTCTTTTTTTTTTCTTGTTTGATGACTTCAAAAAACTTTTTTTTTGTCCGATCCACTGCGGATCTGCAGGACAGGTACTGAGATGTGTCATGTGAGCCGGACGTGCAGTCTCACCTGAACTTGTGCGTCAGACTGTGTGAAGCGGGTCGGAGTCCTGCGCAACGTGGTTTCAGACACAGGCGAACTGAGCCGCTGATCGGCTCAACCTCCACCGGAGCTGTTCGCTCCCGCTCCGATCAGAGCTTTCATTTCCAAGCGCATCTGGCCGCATTCCGCATTTCTTTTTGCAGACTGCGTTGTCAGATATCTGAGATATCAAAGACTTTTCGATGTAGGGGGACGGGGGGACAGGCGGAGGGAAGTCATCCAGGAAAGAAGACGTCGGAGCTGCTAGCTTTCGCTCGAGGAATGTGAATGTCTTTGAAATCCATTTTTCACTGGCCTTCAATCTTAAGCACACAGCACCCTCATTTTTACACGCACACCATCCTGCCTGTGTGTGTGTGGTGGGGGGGAGGGAACAGTGAATGTCAAAACGATGACAAGAAACCTTTAGCGTTAAAGGTCACTAAAACCTGATAAAAGAAGAATGAAAATTCAAAGAATTCCTTCCAAAGCCAGCGTTGTTCACCTATCCTGAGAATGTCTGCTGCACAATCGCTTTTAATGGCATGTAGCTACGTCCGCAGCGCACGTTTATGTAACGTACATCTTTACACACCTCCATCTTGAATTCCTATTTCATATTCACTTTGTGGTACTTAAAATTGTTTTTGACCGTTTTGTTTGACTTCCATTGAAACATTTGTTTTCGAAAATAAAAAGGAGAACAAAATAAAGCGATGTTGGCGTTTTGTATTCGGATCCCCTGACGCTTGTTTCACAATGTAAAGTAAACGCGAATTGTTGATAAATACTTGGGAAAGAGTGAAAAGAGAATTCTGTGGTCGGAGTGTGAAATGAGAGCCGCGGGGAATGTGCAGAATTTCGCTTAGGGCTGGAGGCGAGGGCGAGGGCGCGGGCCCGCTGACACCGCTCACAGGTGGAAATACAGTAGTTTGCCGCTGTTCTACATGCTGAGTGGAGTAGGAATGCAGTACTGTATCAGATTATCAGAATGCTGAGAAACACTTTGAAGCGACTTGGGACCTGGCACATGACTTTTATCTGCACACGTCTTTTCTTTATCAGACCTGACAGGAAGGAATTAAGATTAAGAACAGAAAAGATTACAGAATTTTAGATATTATCGCCGCACAGAGAGATAAGGAGAGGACTGCGTGCTCGAGAGGGGATTTCAGTCTGCGAAATATAATTAGATGAAAATGCAGTCATATTTTATGTTTTGAAAATTGAAAATAAATTATATTAAAGCAACAGTACGTTTTCTCTCCTTAAGTGGAATTTTCTCTTAATTTGTAAACTGGTACCCTCTCTCCCGCTGTGCCTTCCTAACTTCTGATTGGTTGACCCATGTGGCCAATGTGACGTCATTAACGACGCAACACAGCTGTAATCCCAGCCGGGCTTTTCTGGTCAATCGTCATATTCTCCCAGGTGAAGTCGTGTTTTTTGCAGTATGTCATCTCGCGATATGCGGGCTTCATGTCGTGATATAGGGACTGGACATTTTGTCGAGGTATGTCATATTGCGACTTATGTCGCGACATGGGGGTCGGGGCGCATGTCCTATCGCGATATGTGGGCTTCATGTCGCGACATGGGGGCGGGGCTTTTTGTCGAGGTATGTCATATCACGACATATGAACTCCATGTCGCGACATGGGGGGCATATCATATCGCGATATGAGGGCTTCATGTCGCGACATGGGGGCGGGGCGTTTTGTCGAGGTATGTCATATCGCGATATATGGACTTAATGTAACGCGGCTGGTATGTGGTCGTGACACATTGAATTGTGAATGCGCTGTGGATGCCATGACATTCTTTGCTATTCTGTCTTGAGCTCAGTGTGATTTCTCTTAGATTGATCAGTTATTTGAAACTAATGGATGTGTTACTGTGTATTCAGCGTGCTCATACAGCACACACAGTTAACTGGAACCGCAGTATTTGGACCAAGAGGAAAAGCCACCACCAATAGCTTCATATATAGTTCTTGGAACTACAGCTGTGGCGCTTTACCAAATCAGAGTGTCGATTCTTAATCTTGCTAAATTTCACCCAATCGTGGCCCGAATTGTTCACCAAGATTCATGCCGGGGGTTTAGCCAATCACGGGTCTGAGAGCTGTTCAAGCTAGCAGCGCCAGGTGGACCGGCTTGTTTACTGTCGATGATAATCTATTTTTAAAATGTTTTACTTATTTGCAAAAATAAATACATCGGCTTATTTTTATTTTAACGTCTTTATGGATTCACAGTGTCCCTCATTCTTCTAAATACATACATTTTTATTTGGAATATAACAGTCTCCGTTGTTTTCTGTGAGGAATACATGATATTTGAACAATTTTAACCGTGTATTTAAGGTAGGAGAAACACCTTCAAAAATGAATAGAAATGTAAAGTCTACGATTATTATATTATTATGCTTGTGCTTTCAGTTTTGTATTTTATTGTTAAATTATATTGATCTTGAAACTAATACCTAAAAATGTGAATGTGGGCACTCGTGTACCAGCGGTAATTTGGAAACTGGTGTCAGGATACAGCAACGGTGTCTCTTCACCAATAAAAGGAGTACAAAAGCAATACATTTTCGAGAATATGGTTATAAATTTAAAGATAAAACACCTAACCCAAAATGAACTAACATACTGTAGTAACTCCTCCCTAAATGTAAAGGTTTATTAGTGTAAAGGCTGCAAACTCTGGAGTCAACTGATCAAAAGATCACATTGAAAGATCTGGTGATCGTGACCTTGCTGTTTTTGTACGTTGAAATATTGAAATATTGAAATTTATTTGAAACATCCACCTCACCCGACCAGACAGACTCAGAAAACAAATTGCACCCATTGTTTTAATTACATTCAGGAGTGAAAGTACCGAGTATGTTTGTTAAATACAAACGCTATTTTTCAACTGCACAAACGCAGCACTTAAGTTATGCGGCAGGTTTCAGCGTTTGTGCTGTGCGTAGGGCAACTTCACGGAGCTCTCCAAGGCCTGTGGCCGGAAAATGTTTTAGTAGCAGGTTGGGGTCATTGGGCTAGACAAGGTGAACCAGACAACAACTTTGTTGATCATGCATGTTGCCTAGAGTAACACAATCCGGTATATTATTTTAGATGTGATGAATACTGCTCCGGTTTTTAAATGGATAGAACACATGTACATAGTGTTTCCGAAGGGTCAGTGTATTGTCCCCCCTCACAAGAATGCCCAGTTGCTACTTTGTTTAATTACATAACTGTATAACGGCAGGGCTTCGAACCAGGCTCCGAGGTACTTTTATAAGATGGAGTTAATAGTTTTAAGTCATCAAACTGTACCAGACCTTCAGAACCTTCCCGTGAATTTCTGAGACGACAGTAAGGTCAAAGGAATGGGCCCGAGTATCCTTTCCACGCAACAACCTTGGGGCAGGACTTGGGTTTCACGCTCCAGAGAGCCCGCTGGAGGATTCTCCTCCGTTGCTCTTCCTTTGTGATCTGCTCAATTATTTGGCGTGTTACACTGTGCTTGATTTTGCTGGGGGGGGTCTCGGGTCCTTCCGTCGATTCAGTTCTGTGGCTAAGAGACGTTGCACGAGTCTCGAATATTAGGTGAGATTTTGTGTTTTGAGATTTGTTCAGTTTTACATTTGCTACATGGTCTGTTCTTTGGTTTCTGACATTTATTTGAAAATGCCCCTTAAAGAATTTTTTTTGTGTGACTTGTTTGTTTTTCTATAGCGACGTATCAGGTTTCTATAGCGACGTAGTGGATGGACTACGCCTCCCTGTAATTCATGACTTAGCCTATAAACCCAGTTTCTTAATTCTGTAGGTTTTCTCATCTGATTTCTAACATTAAAATATTACGTGTACATAAAATATTTTTATAAGTATTATCCTGTTTTGTTTCGTGCTGTTTTCAACGTGGTGCAGCTTATTGAATCCTGGAAGCCAGGGTTAACTTCTTAGACATGGCGTAATGCAGAGCAGAAACTGAAGTTTAGTGATTGATGAGTCAGTGTTGTAAGCTGAAAAGCTCGTACTTTATTATATATATTAATTGGGGGACCATGTCGAGAAGCTTCTCCACAAATATTTCAGCCAAGAAAGTTTGAAAACTTCAAAAGAGTTTGAATATGCACTGTATGATATGCAACAACCTACGGAAAGCGACTGCAAGTACTTCATTTCACCGCAAGAGGGGGCGCAGAAGCTGTACCTGAGCTATAATACCTGATACCTGCTTTATATATTTACCTCACGATGTTTTTCACTTTTGAAATTTTTTTAATGTGACCCGACACTTAAACAGTAAACTGTGTGACGTTATTTTTGTGACGAGTGTGATGTGTTTCAGAGTTATTGACAGGAAACCATCCAGACCACATACGTAGCTGTTAAAGCGGGTCGTCGTTTTCAGAAACGAAACTTTGATAACCGTTTACACTTTTCAGATAATTCTAGATGTGCACGTACGACTGTACGAATGTACTTTCTGCAATGCAGTTAGGTTTATTTGTTGCGAAATCCTAAAACTTTAAGTGCAGAAAAAATAAATATCCTGCTTTAATCAAATCTATACGTAGTTTACAGGGTTTCTTAGAAGAAGAAATGCATGTTACAAATGTATTAACCATTTTAGTCTATCAGGGGATCTGCAGGCTTTAAGGGTTTGTTAGTTGTAACAAAGAGAAACTTCCGAGTACTTCATCAGAATTACAATAATGTCTGGAATCGGTGAGGGATTCTGTTTTGTGCGGAGCAGGTGGGCTTTTAACTGACGATAAAAAGGCCGTGGTTAGTTAGGGTATCTAATTATAGCTGGATTCTGCCAAAAGATTTGAGGGAGCTTTAAGGGAACGTCACTTCATCGGACTGGGAAAGTAGTTCCACTCCCCTCTAAAGAAGAGCCTAACGAGTTGGGGAATGGGATTGTATCTTTCTGTGCAGAGTGTGTATGTTCCCCCCACATGCTCCAGTTTCCTTCAACCTGCCAAAGACATACTGCCTGCTTTTTAAATTTGTCTCCTGATTGTCTGTGTGTGTGCCTTGTGACAGACTGGCATCCTGTCCTGAGTATAGTTTCTTCTTGTGCCTTATGCCTCGGGATGTTCTCTGGTTTCCTGCAGCCCCTGTCCAGGAGCCAGTGACTTTTTAAGGGATGAATGGATCTCATTGTAAGGAAGAACTTCAGCATAAGTGATAGGAATGACCAGATGCCACACCTTTGTTTTTCAACTTGTTCTGCTTAGAATGATTTTTAATGGGGGAAATTGAGACTCCTGTAATGCTTTCCTCTATATTGGAATGGCAGCTGGAAAATCTAATAGCAGCTGCAGATTGTTTTGTTTACCTACTAAAATATCCCTCCCCCAAGAGTCCAAAACTTAATGATGTTCACTCAGCGTGATCATTTACTATAGCAGTTTGGGTTCAGAAATCAGGTGGGTCATTAAGATGTTTAAGAGGCTGATAATGTATTGTAAAATAGTTTACTGTGTGGTCTTTTCATTTGTTTTACAACAAGCTGTGTGAACCTTTTTACTGTTGTTTTTTTTCCAAATGTGTGCTCGCCTCTTTACTTCTCACTGTAGAATTTCTCTTGTAGACTGGCTTTCCTGGGGGAAAGGAAATAGCAGCAGGTGTCCAGGACAGGACCGGGTGGATTTTTGCTTTTTGTAACGAGTGTTTTAA